CACCCCCCACCCCCACTCTCATCTGTAACACAGAAACAGAATTTTCTCCCTTTCAGCAGTATAAGCCAATTGCAAAATACTACTTAAAAGATGTGACTGCTCTCCTTTCCTGCCTTGTGATCATGGAACCAAATGACAAGTTGCATTAATTCACTGAGCCAAAAGAAAACACCAAGTGTGTGTTTGTTAGCTTTCTGTTGCATCCATGAGCTAAACTGACTCAGTACTGGCAAGACTGGTGTATCTGAAAGAAAATGGTCAGGAAAACACCATAAAATAGGGGAAGGGAGAAAAGAAGACAAAAACTAGAATATCCACATTTGATGCAGTCCACAGTTCAGTTAAACTTCATGGCATTCATTACATCAATCTAAGGCATTAGCTGAAATCACAATACACTATAAATGAGTAGTGCCACATTTCCATGGCAGTCACTTCTACCATGACACTTGTACCCTGGCAGCTGCTTGGGGACCCAGATCAGGAACCGATCAGCTGAAAAGAGCACCTCCAGATGAAAGGAAGTTCAGCCTCATCAATTCTTTGCTGGAGTTCACAGCGTGACTGTAAAAGCAACTGTGCTGGTTACAAGGAAGACAGCAGGAAGAAGTGCCCAAGGGTCAAAAGCAGCACAGGAAGATGCTTTCAGCTGTAGCACGATGAAAGCGTTGAGCACATTCCAGTGCAATGCCATCAGGCACCTCCAGAAAATCAAAAGCGTTGAGATAAATTGTGCACTGTCAGCAAACGTTCTCACATACACACACTGCTGCAGCCAGACATGTTGATAATCATATAGGGACAGTATGCAAAGGAACGCTACCCTGTAAAAACAGGTTCACTGCTCAGTCACCACTCACTGGACCAATTGCCCATCCAGTGAACTTTCTTTCCTTTATTCTTTGCAGTTAGAGCCAGGCTATTGCCTCTGCCAAAACAGGCCACACAAGCTGAATGCCCTTACTGCAGATGCAGGAAGATGACACTGTAGCTGCAACACACTGAGCAGAATAATGTCGAAAGGCTGCTCAGCCCCTACATAAGGAAGCAAACTCAACGGCATTGAGCATTACATGCTGCAGTGTTTCAGTAAGCAAAGGTAGTTCAGGCTGCCTGCATGCCATCACTTCTTTGTATCAAAAGCATACTGTAAGTGCATTTATAGATCATACCAGAAGAGAGTCTGAAGTGAGGGTCTGAATGCAAAAAATGCAAAAAAAAAAAATGCTTATGCAAAGGGCTATAGATATATAATACACACAGTAAAACAGAATTCTTGGAGTAGGCATTTCTATCTTGTCTCCTATTTGAAAAAAGTTCCA